GTCTGTTCACATATTACCCGTCGCATAGTCCTAGACCTGTTTAAAGGTCAAATCTCTGATACTGAAATTCAAGGTCTTCTTAATTTCAAAAGTAACTTAAATCACTTTGCTTTGTTCTCATCAACATTTTTAAGTGGAACAAGAGGTAATACAAATCATTTAATTATATGAGACAAAATATACTGTACACACATGAAGTTGAAAAACAAGTGAAGCCAAATGGAGAAAAAAACACTGAAATATAATAGTACCTAAAAACGAATCGTCAGTTGAGTTGTCTCGCATTCTGATGTGTTTTATCCGAACCCAACCACTCATTTATATATCAGAAATGTATGAGTTCAGCTAAACAACAGGATACATCGAGTATTCAATATCATATGTTGTCTTTCATTACATATTAAAATCAATAACTTGAATTGGTTTTCAGCAATGAAAGGCATTTTAATTTTTTTTCTCAGTCTATGATAAACGGCTGCAATTGCCGAATTCAGTATGAAACTGTAGAGAAATCTTTTTCTTTTAGTACAAAAATAAAGAGCGACCAGCAAACTAAAAAGCATGCAACAAATTAAAAATCATGCATAAGCAAAATAGAAAAGAAGTCCTAGTAAAAAGCGCAGTGCCTAATATCTACATTTGTAGCCAAGAATCGGCGAAGGGTCGACGGGGGTGAAGAGAAGATGAAAGAGGAGAAACAGCAGAAGCAAGGAAAAAAGAAGAAACTTGAAAGCATTGGAGTGTGGGCCGCTTTTGACGAGACTAAGGTATATTATAGGTTACTGTTTAACATCAGTCATTTCGTGAAACGAATAGAGAAAAGTTTAGCTCAGTTTTTTGCTATCGGGAAATAATTGTAAGCTGGATTTGTTTCATCAGATAAACGATGCAAATGATAGTAAACTTATTTTCGCTGCAGGACACTACGTACCTGCAAAACGAAAAACAAACTAACCCTTTAAAAAGCGTATTCCAAGAAAGTAAACAGAATCAGTTTCGATCTCAATTTCTTTTCCGTTTCGGGATCTCTCCTGATAATGGTTCAGTTCGAGGAACTGAACAATCACGTACTTTACCGTTATAGAGATCACTCCAACAATTCTGTTTTGGACGGTTACTTCCGAGTTTTTATGAAAGTATGAAAGTATAGAGTGAGAAAAAGAGAGTATATTCTTATCTGGAAAAGTGCAAAATAATGAAATAATGACGAATACTTATACTCACGTTTTACGTGTCGTTTTTAGTGTGTTGTTTATAATAGAAAAACGAATTGTTTATTAAATGTTTTTATTGCGTTTTTTCAGCAGAAAAGCTTAAAAAACATCAAAAGGACAAAGGCCTAAGTGTTGTCGATATGCATTTCATGTGCAACAGTGGTTTGGACCTAGGAAGAAAAAAAAATAAACTGTCATTTTTGATTATGCGATACCTATCGTTCTGTCAAAATGTTCTTATATTTCTTGCTGCTGTTTTCTCTGCCTAATGTAAAACTGTGAACCGTTTGCCACGCAAACAAGTTCGCAATAGTTTTTAACTGTTCTCTTCCTGAGGCACCTACTCCTTCCTAGTTCGAATTTTCTTCCTACCAGTGATGTATTTTGGAAGGAATTAGAAAAAGTATGAGATGGAGTTACGAAAAATTAGTAAATTCTACTTACCTTGTTGATCCCAATGAAAGCAAGCATCGTCACTCCTATCACCGCGACTATATCCACCCCCAGCACAACCACCTCCAAATCTTTTCAAACGTTGGCGGTCTTTTGTCGTCCAAACTGTTTTGTTTGCATCTGACACCTTCAATGATGGTGTAGACATTAGCGATGTTGATGTTGTCCGATCATCGATAGTGGCTGAAGATGTTTCTTGTTCTTCAACATTGCCATTTTTTTTCTAAAGTGTTTCGTATTTAATTGGTGCAAGATAGAAGAAAAGCACAAAGGGGCGACAGTATATTGTTTATTTGAAACGATATGTGTTAGTATATCATTTCTTTTCTGTTAACCCCCTTCGTTTCGTCTCACCGGTATAAAAATATACGCCATGTATGTCTCTCTACTGTATTTCCTTCGCACCTTGAGGAACAAAGATCAAAGTTGCATAACAGGCGAACGTTTCCACTCTCATTACTTTACCGGATTATTTGCTATCCTTCTTTCTATTCTTGATCATTATTGAAATTAACAGAATTCTAATTGTTTCTTGATTAAAAATGCACGCAGAGAAACTAAAGATGGTTGCTTTTATGCCACTATAGTTTCTGACGAGCGAACAGATTTATCTCACCGTTTTGAAGCTTGTCGTTCGCTTCTTCGGTTTCTTCGAAAACGCCGGTTGAGGCAGAGTGCACCACTATGGCTCACTCTCTCGGATCTTGGAAATTCATTTCCAGGCGACGATACAGATTCTGCATCATCCTGACAACGTTTCAACAGAATAAATTAAGTTAATGTAGATAACATTCGACTGCTGGAAAATAAATATAAAGGCTGTGTTACAAGTTCTGAGGAAAGCGTCAAATAAGCTTTGTTATCGCTATTAAGCTTCATAAATGCCTCATATTCTGCTGTATTAGCAGATTAGCTCACGCTGCACGCAACCCGTCTTGTACTATGTTTATTGACTTGACACTATGGGTTTTTTTTCTTACTCAGCTTTTTGTTTCTTACTCGGTAGTCACTACCGAGTAAGAAACACCTCTTGTGAATGATTCATCCCTTTCGAGGTGCTCTCTTTCTTAATCGTCAAACTTCTATCCATGCACTCTGCCTATATCAAGTCTCGTGAATGAGTCTTACAGACAAAAAACTGAAATGTGGGTCCGCACGGATCCGATAACAACCATGGTGTTATATTCACGGTTTCAACCGTGTTAGAGCCGCCCTCTATCGTCGTTTTGTAGGTCAAACATTTTTCTGCAAAATGAAACGCTCCGCAGCTATGAGCGAATCTTGATAACCGATATATAGAAATTTTCCCGGATACTCCAACTCCAGTTATAAACTGGCGCATACCTAATCATAAAACCTTTCCCAAAAATGTTTTTTAAATAATATACGTTACAAACGCTGCATCAGTATCAACATATCCACACCTAGAAGCAGCATGATGTAGATCATAGATCCATGCATGAAAAGCTTCAATCAAATGGTAAAAAGTTTGAACTTTCCTACACGTTCCCGTGTGGGTCCAACCGGACCCCTGAGCAGCCATGAAGTCAGAAAATGCGAACAGCTGTCAAGGGTTAAAGACGATCAATCACATTTGAAATAAAAACGAAAAAACTGGAGAAAAATATACGACATCAAGGCGTAGTTGCTTGTAAGGACACACGAGCGTGTACGTAGACATGGGATACAAACAACATTTTCTAAGACGGAACGGAAAAAATCAAAATTCTAATTGAATAAAAATATCAGAGACACAGAATAGAACATTGATAGCGAGCACATACGAAAAGGATAACAAAATTTGAAATAACTCATCACAAGAAATGATCGGTAGTAATGTATATATAAACCGTGTCAACTGAGTTTTGATCCCATACTAGATAATAACTCTGGATGGCCTTTGGTTCAATCTAAAAGTTCTTTAAACAAGGTTATATTATAGAGCAAACACTTCGGAACAAAATAAGACGCCCCGAGCTCTGTATGAGCTTTTACCATGAAACCACATTCATTTACGGAAGATTCCATACTACCAAAATCAGCAAAATTAACGGGAAAACAAGAAAAATACTCTCTTAGAGCCTTTCGTAAACTGAATGCTGTTTCATGACAAAACCTCGTCACATGACGATGGGGCGTTTTATTATCTTTGTTATCGGTAATTAATCGTGTGTCGAACACTAGCGCCACTATATCTCAGAAGCGATTTTTCGTACGTGATAATCACCATTGGAAAGATTTCTCCGTCAAATTAAGCGCTAACCCTCCCCCTATAATAGAAGACCACCTGGTCTTCTATTTTGCCCTGCAAGTCGAGTTCTAAAGGGTGGCCTTCTATTGTGGTCAAATTTTGTCACCTGCTAGTAATCGAACGGTAACCCCCTCGTAGTTGACGCTCATCCCTTATCGTTAATCTAATTTCATTTTATATTTTAAAACCAGCCCGAGCTCTCCAGCTGTTTTCTGAGAGGAGGAATCTGCTGGACCGTATATGCCCCATTTGAATCCATGTTCGAGCGACATCCTGTCCAACCTTCCCCAAAATTTCGCTCATACCCGATTTGTGGTTAACAAGATAAATATCTGACCAGGGAAGCCCTTAGAAAACAACCAAAAGAAAATTAAATAATATTCTCTTTTGCTCTATTTGGACAGCCTATATTCATGCGTATTTTTATTAGAACATAATTTTTTTCTCAAACGACAAGTTTTGCGCATAAGTGGCAGAGGTGGGCGATGAACAAGGATCTTCGCGAGGCTCCGTGGGAAAGAATTTTTGAAAACTTGATGAGGGACGGGGCAATGACGAGGCAAGAACTTCACGAGGCGAAGCCCACGGGGGACACTTTTTGCTTCTTAGCGAAAGACGAAATGGAGACGCTGGACGGAATTATTTTCAGTTCACTTGAAAAATATGTTTTTTTAGTCGAGAACATCTACCTTATACACTGCAGTTTCCTCAAATGGAAGCTAAAACTCTAACAGTAACAGTTGTATATAGTAAAGGCTATTTCTATCCAATTTTATTTGTTCTTCTGTCTTCGTCTTACGCGCCCCGTATATAAGGCATCCTAGTTATTTGATTTTCTCTCCTCTCATTTTATTCTTTGACCTGTTCCTCTTTGATAAATTGTTAATAGAACAATCAATCTATTCAGTCCATCTATTTCCTCTTTCTTTTTCTCTTTTGTTTTCTACTGTCGTTCTAATGTTCTTTCGTTTTCTTGCGCATAAGTCATCAGCAATTTGTTATTATTAACATCTTAATGTTTAGTGCATCGGACTCAGGCGGATCGATGAAGAAGTGCCGGCAAAAAACTTTGTCAATAGCTGATGTTGGACGAGGCGGTGACGGGGCAGAAAGCTTACGGGATGGTTCCCGCGGGGAAGAATTTTTGAAACCTTGACGGTACAGGGCGATGATGAGGCAAGAACTGCACGAGGCGAAGCCCGCGGGAATCTAAAAATAGTCTGCCGTCCACCTCTGATAAGTGGCTTTTCTTTGGCAACTTGTATTTTTTCGGATACTTTTGTTGCTGGGCAGTAGCAATAAATAAATTCAAGACAAATACACAAAAGAAAAGGAACTGTATGAAATTCATACATAGAAGCCTTACAAAACCTCGACGGAACCTCTTTTGACAGCAGGGGAAAGAGGTACCACAAGTGTTTTTAACCTTGAAATGGGGGAAGGAGGCGCACGTAGCATTTTGAACGGAAACATTGTAATAAATAAAATGAATAAAGTTTCGAAAAAACAGCCAAATTTTCAGCTTGCGAGAGAACCGATTAACTGTTAAATCGTTTTTTCAATGAGACCTAGTAGACTATAGGTTATCGATTATGCTGATTCTGAATATGACAATGGCAGTTGCTTATAGATCGCCAGAGATCCGGCTTTTAGAAAACCAGTTTTTCAAAAACTCTAAAAAATAATCAAAACCTTTCTTAATGAGACATAGTTGTAGCCCGCACATTTCTGATTAGAATCGATAACCTCTAATCCACTAGGTCTCATTAAAAGAACAATTTGACAGTTAACCCGGTTCTCTCGTTGGCTGTTTTTCAACAGCTCCAAAATTATTTATGTTAATTCAGCATGCATAACTGTGTATAAAAAACTAAACCGTGCGTTAGTAGGAACTGAAATAGCCTCGAAATTCGAAAAATACAAGCAGAACCGCTAAAGTACTCTCTGTACATCTTGAAGATGTATCTAGCTTTTTTGGTTAGAAGATAAAATAATTTCTCTTGCTTCACTCTGACCATCGTACTCGTAAGAAAAATTAAGCATTGCTTTTGGATAATATTGCTTCGTTGCTGAGAGGACTTGTTGTTTTCTATGCTAGTGGTGAAAGACAAGGAAATGCATCCGTTTTTTTGCCATTTTCATCGACAGGTTTGACCTTTTCACAAAACCACGATGATATTCGGAATCAGCGATTTTTCAATAATTAGTTTTAGCAACCTACCAAAGTCCGCTTTCAGTTGGTCTTTTTATTTCTACTAACTCGATAAGAAAAATAATCCCAAACATTGCTTGATCCGACAAGTAGCCGATAATCCTTCTTTTACTTTTTTAATATTGTAGAACTCAACATATGAGGTATACCTCGGAATTAAAGAAGCAAAACAATTGGCCTCGTTATACTTCTGTCAGTTTGAGATATTCCGTTTACATCCATTACTCTCGGCGAGTTTTCCGGCATTTACAAATTGTGTAGATAACGAACTGATTGATTTAACCCCAGCCATTACTCTGTTGGAATGGCCTCTGTGTCTGAAGCCAACATTATCCGCATTAGAAAAACGTTTTAGTAAAATAATGGTTGATGAACTACGATCAATCCCATTTTGTTTAGTATCAAAATGGTCGGGGATCGGTAATGAAGAAGAAGATGGTCACATTGAGTTTTGTTATTCATATTCCAAAGCCGAAACGTTTCTGACGTTACAACGCACATCGAAACAAACAGCATTCACACTAATTATTAAATTACTATTTTACCGTTACATACTAGATAATAATAGTGAATTGGAACTAGGAAAAAAAGAAAAGCATATTGATTCATATTTGGTTAAGATATTAACCTTTTGGTTTATTGAATTAATATCAGAAGCACAGTGGAATGCAAGTCGTGAACGGTGTCTAGTGCCGTATTTAGTTGGATTTTTAGATTTTGTTATTAATTGCTTTGAAGACCGTTATGTTAGTTCATATTGGAATAGAAACATAGACTCATCAGCAAATAATCTAATTCAGACAATTAACCATAGTCACTTGAATGAGACCGTTCTTGTTTTGAAGCTAATTCGTAAAAATCCATGTTGGTATATTGAACGGTTACAAACGAATTCACAATTAGAATGGATTAAATTAAATGAGCAGTATTTTCAACAAATAAACGATCAACATTTATTTGATATATTTATTTATGTTTTTGGTTATTATAATCTCGAACAACATCATGAGGAAATGAACGCATACGAGCGATTCCAGTTTTATATCCTATGTTCATCAATGGTGCAAATTATCATGCAACATTATTATCGTATGTCTGCAACAACATGGCAACAACTATTCGATGCTCAACCCTTCCAGCAAGAGCAGTGTTTAACTGGATTAATTAAACAATGGCATGATGATCAGGAATATGGTAAAGAATTTTATATGACACAAAGTGAACGAAGAGCAGAAAAATATTTGAGAAAAATCATTTCATTTATTATAATTGAATGGTTATGTCAATCATCAACATTTGCTTACCAGTTTTTAGCACCCGACGTCATAAGAACAAAATATACACAATTATTTTCATTTATTCCAAGCAAATACAGTATTTGAAAAGTTTCTGTCTTGGATCATTCGAGATAGATGGATTGGATAAATTCGAGATTTTCTAAAAACACAGCTTTGTAGAGCAAACGTTTCTGATCAAAATATGACTGCGCACACCTCTGTATGACCTTGCGTCAAAAAGTTACAGGCATTTCCCTAGAAGTCCTAAAATCGAGTATTTCATACAGCATTTTCCCTATATAAGAGTTACATCTGAAGTGCGTCCCAAGATTTTTAATAACGGTCTGTCGTAGAGAGTTCATTCTTTTTTGTTTTAAAGTGGAAAAGAAACTACATCAACTGACCGGCGTCGATTTTTGAATTAGGTCTTAGTTTTTTGTCAAACTGAGGATTTTTCGGGTTTTGGAGGTTGTTGGTTGCCTGGAAAACCAATACAGGCTTAATTGAAAAATCGGCGCTGGTCAGTCGATGTAGTTAGGTGTCTAGTTTAAAATAAAACAAACCCGAACTCTCCAGCTTGAAGTATATTAAAAAATCT